GTATATGTCCTAAAGTTTTCTCGGCTTACTGACATTATTTGGCTGAGAAAAAAATTAATTACTTTAAAAAATATCGTTAAGTTTTTCCACAAGAGACTATTATTAAAAGAATTCCTGTCCATTTTCTATTCATCATAAAAACTTGGTTCTTGACTGGATCGATAGAGAAATGTGTGGAGAATATTTAACAGGAGAAAATTTTTCAAAATTTTCGTTCTTTCCTTATTAACTAATTAGCACTAATTAACGTTAATTTAGCCTACTCCACTAGCTGACAGTCCCATTTGCAAAATAAGGACTCAACAAAATCATTTAAGCAATATCTCACCTGAGAGAGAATTTTACGGGCTACAAGATCGGCTAGCTTAAGAGTTTTAGAATCCAATACATTCATTAGAGTATTTTTATAACAGCTCCGTGCTCAAAAAGTTAATGTTTTTTTAAGTAATTAATTTTTTTCTCAGCTAAACAATGTCAGTAAACCGAAAAAACTTCAGAACACATACTTAGAAGTGTTCTCTACAAATTTAAAAATTTAACAAAAAGTTCAAAACTAAAAAAATTTCTCTAATTTTTAGCTAAGTGAAAATATTTGTACAACACTTGGAACCAAATTTCGCCGAAGGAAGCATTTCAAGGAAAAGTGTGGAAAAAAAATTTTTTTGTCTCCAAATCTTACGGTTTAGGAGTTTTCCAGGGTTCAAGGTCCGAAAAGCACCCCGAACAGCGTCCCAAGATTTTTTAATATACTTGAAGCGGGAGAGTTCGGATTTGTTTTATTCTATACTAGATATCTAACTACATCGACTGACCGGCGCCGATTTGTCGATTAAACCTTTATTGGTTTTCCAGGCAACCAACAACCTCCAAAGCCCGAAAAATCCTTAGTTTGACAAAAAAGTAAGAGCTACTTCAAAAATCAAAGCCGGTCAGTCGATGTAGTTTCTTTCCTCTTTTAAACAAAAAAAGGATGAGCTCTTTACGACAAACCGCTATTAAAAATCTTGGGACGCACTTCAAGTGTAACTCTTATATAGTGAAAACGCTGTATTAAACGCTGTATGAAATACCCAATTTTAGGAAAATGCGTGTAACTTTTTGATGCAAGGTCATACAGAGTTGCCCGAAGTCTTATTTTGATCAGAAACGTTTGTTCTACAAAGCTGTATTCTCAGAAAAATTTTAATTGCATAAGTATTCAGAAAAAAACCATTATTTGAAGACCCATTTTTTCGAAGCTCTTAGAATACTTGCTCAAAATCCAGGAAAAAAACTGTTTTGTAACCAAAAAAAATGATACAGGTTCTGAAAGTAGGTACTTCAGGCTATCTTTCCATGTGCGTATCTCAAAACTGATTTTTTGATCACCATTTCCGAGGGGGGGAAGGGGGCTTAAACTCGATTTTTCAATTGAAGAATACGGTTTTTAAAATTTTACCGGGTAAATAAATAATACGGTAAATTTTTTCAATTGAAAAATCGAGTTTAACGAATTTTGAAAAATCGTTCGTTCATATTCCAGGGAATCTGATTCTGAAGAACTTTCAGAGCCACACTTTTCCTTGAAACGCTTCCTTCGAGCGAAATTTGGTTCAAAGTGTTTTTAAAAATATTTCTTGCTTCAAAATACCATCTGGGAGGTCAAAGCGGAATAACTCAGTTAAACCTTCACCGAAAGCTTGACCGAATTTTTTATAGGTACATCCTAATGTCCTTTATCGCTTGACATCGAAACCGAGGTTATATGTAGAAATCTGAAAATTTTATTAAACTTTTGAAAATAAAGCAAAAAACTGAGACTATAGTCGAACTTTGGGGACTCTTTTGAAATTAGTTGGATATGTCTTCTGGAAAAGCGCTCAAATAATAAATTTTGTTCTTGGCGAGAGTTGAATTTGCTCCATAGACCTTATCTCAGGAGTAAAGTTTTTTTTTTCGAACAATATGCTGTCCTTCTCGAGATATTAAAAATGTACTAAAAATCTTGTATAGAAAACCGATTTTTGATTTTAAAAACCATCTCACACCGAAAGTTGAAATAGAAACGCTTAAAAAGAATTTACATTCTGAGATAGGGGCTAAGGTATCTGGGGTAAAAATTTAAGCTCAATCGGGCCATATTTTCGAGTCGTAATGTGACTGAAGGGACTAGCGAAAAACGCATAGTGAGAAAAACACATATTGTGTACAGGGCTCTGTTTTTCAGGACATTAGAAGTGCTGCTTATATCTCCACGAAAACTCACCGGAAAATTCTGCAAGACGTCTCAAATTAAAGAACACACTATGCATCAAAACCAATTATAATTGAAGATATTATACAATATTATTGGGTAATATTGGGTTTCATAATACACTGGATTCCACCTTCTTAACCTTAACATCATTTACATTCATAAAAATGTGAGAAAGCATATCCCAATCGGGGTATAAAAATGTATCCCGATAAGGATTAGGCATGCATCGATTAATAATCGATGTTAGGACATTCATCAAAGTCGTTCCGAATTAGTTATAAAAAAAGCACTTAGAGTAGCCGAGCAGCCATTTTGTACAAAAATGTTTGCTCTATCAAACTGAAGCACAAAAAGAATTTTAGTGTTATCTGTGACAGAAATATAAACATCCAAAACTGAGCAAAATTGCGAAAAACTAATCTACTATATTATTTTTCTACGATTTTAGTGCATTTTCGATTTATGGTGTTCTCTCAATTAGTCCCTCATCAATTTTTATTCTCAATTCGTGCCTTCTCATTTCGTTTCTTAAAATTGTTTTCTTGATTCATCCCTTCTCGACTCGTCCCTCAAATGCACACGCATAGGCTAAATTATTCGGCTTTTAAATTTATTTAATAAACTTCGTAAGAAAGAACAACACTAATAATTAACAATATAAAAACAGCTACAATATTACTATGTTCACAAGACAAACCAATTATTCATGAAGATATCATTTTTTAATTGGAGTTGTTTTAACAACTCTACCAGCAGATAATAAAGGACGAACATCAAATGTACCATCGGAATGCCAAAGTGAACATGATGATAAAAGTAGAATAATCCATTCTGGTGTGCATGTACGACCTGTTTCTTCACGAATAATTTATTTATTTTATAAATACAGCGATATTGAACTTGTACAGCTTTTATCATGACAATACCATTCATTCCAAGTTTTATGTTCTCGTTTTTTAGTATATTGATATTCTTTATAATTTAAAACTGGCTTACCGCGTTCAGTGAGAGTGAAATGTAACATTTTCGGAGAACTTGTGCGTACTCCTGCTGAATATCCGGAAGTTTATATAGGTTAGTGAACTTCATTTTTTTAAGCATTCTGAACAGTTCTAATTGTAGCTGTTTATATATTGTTAATTATTAGTGTTGGTCTTTTTTACGAACTTTATTAAATAAACTTAAAAGTCGAATAATTTAGCCTATGCGTTTGAGGGACGAACTAAGTAAAATATTTTAAGGAACGAAATAAGAAGGCACAAATTGAGAATAAAAATTTATGAGGGACGAATCGAGGCTAAACCCGATTTATCATATTCTCTATATATAACATTAAAATTTTTCTAGCATTTTACTTTGGTAAAGCAAACATTTTTCTACAAAATGTTACATTAGGCAGTCCAAGTGCTTTTTTTATAACTGATTAGGAAGGACTTGCTGCAAAGTAGTAACCGATTCGGTGCCGGTCCGATCAGGCATAAACGTTTGGACGGGCCAGTCTAGAAAGATTTTCAAACAAGCCGGTGAAATTCTTAGCATTTTTCTCTTCTTCATAAAAAAAAATGAGTTTTTCTACCCTCTTGTCCGTCTAGAAAAAATTTGAAAACCGACTGGTTTTCTGCCTTTTTTTAACCAGTCTAAATTGATTTTTGGATCGGTCGGCCCGATCCGGCCTCTTATTTTTAGACCGGTTGCAACTCTGCTTTGCTGAATATCCTAACATCGATTATTAATCAGTGCATACCTATTTGGGTTATATTTTGATTGAAAACGGGATGTAGAACATGCGTCTGTACTGTAAAAGTAGGCTGAACTCAAGCGACTCAATTCTCAATAATATTGTGAAAAACCAATATATTGAGTATACAATAATATTTGGATCTAATATATTGTATTGATGCATGTCTAACTCCACCAACTACTAGACGATGGATGGTGTTGAGCTCAATATTATCTTTCTCAAAAAATTTAGTAATTAAGACTGAGATAATCATTAAAACTTGTCATTGTGTCATCCATTCAAATCAGACGATGTCTAAACATTAAAATTTGAGTTTAATTAGAATAAATATTTTACAGAGTACAATAATACCGATATGAAATAAATATTTGTATCTATATTGACTCAAAAGTTTTGTTGTTCTGTTGCGAGCTGGGTACTCATGTCACCTATGAGTGTACTTGCGACATTTTTGATCGAGATTTAAATCAGTTCATTATTACTATTTCGTCTTTTTCGATCCTTAGACAACTTTTATTTTCAGTTCTCAACATTTCTATTTAACCATTGTAATTTTTAATTAAAATTTTTTGCTTTGTGATGGTTTTTTTCGATTTTCAGTTCTTTCGCGTGTCTTTTTCGAAGTTTTGCTTCCACCTAGCGTATAATAATATATTTGATTTTTGATGAATGTCGAATTTTATTGTTGGATAAAATATTTAAACAGATTTATTAAACAGATCAAGGACAAACATCATCATAAGTCTTACTGAGTTTTTCTTTTACTAGCCTTTGCAAGCGATAATAAAATTCCTCGTCGAAAGATTTCATATCATAGAAATAAAACTATTGTTTCTTTGTTTCACTTCCGTACAAACTATACACCATCACACTTCATTCTTTATCTTATTCTGACAATAAAAAAACATTTATTGTCAAAGACAGAAATATTAAGTTGCAGTATTGTATCAACAAAACCACATTATTTTACCTACAAAATGTTGAAAAACTGGTAAAAGTATAACATTAACGTACTATCGAGTAATGGGGTGTAAAGAATCGGTAAATTCTAAATATGTTATAGCACCAAAGTCGGCTACACTTCAAAATTTTAACGATATTCAGCATAAATCAATATTATCCAATGACGATCACAATCATCATGGTGATAATAAGAAAGACTCCGTTATTTCCAATAAGTCTAATCGCCAACAAAGTAATAGTAAAAATATTCGACAAAATCGAAAACACCGTTGCTCTACAATTGCCTCACTTACTCAAAGTATCACGTTAGAAACCGGTGCGCCTCAGATTGACATTCGACCATCAGATTTATATGCGTTCAATGATAAATTTGTAAAACAACGTCAAGCTGCTATTGATAACATTGTTTATCGTACTACAATTGATTCATGGCGTCCGAATTCAATTGAACCACTAAATGAACTAATCCATAATCTCTCCACAAACCAAAACCTTGTTGACAAAGCATGGATTAAGTATCATCTGCTTAGTACATGCTGAGAATTTTAAAACATGGCTTGAAAGAGGCACTAAGTCTTAAATGCTTATCGAATATGTGAATATAATCTTATATTCTATTGGATTACGCAAAATATTGAATATGATGTGGTGTCATATTTTTCGAAAAATTATGCGGATCAAACAGCAGAAGGAGTGTTTCGAACACGGAAAGGTGTATGTGCGGGTTATGGTAATATTTTTAAACGTCTTTGTGATAATATTGGATTAGAATGTGTCAAAATAGGTGGTTATGCCAAAGGTTATGGATTTGATCCAAAAGCAACTCTTCTAACTGAAACCGATCATGCATGGAACTCCGTTCAGATTGATAATCATTGGTATCTAATTGAATCAACTTGGGGTGCAGGTTCTTTAGACGATAATAGAAAATTTAACAAAAAGTTAAATACTTATTATTTTTTATCACGTCCAGAAGAGTTTATTTATAATCACCTACCGGAAGAAGAAAAATGGCAGCTGTTAGCATCTCCGATCACTATGAAACAGTATATGACATTGCCTGCCGTTTGGCCACAATATTTTAAGTTTAAACTAGAAATTGTGCATCCAAAATCTAACATTGTACAACTTTTAAATAATGAATCATATACCACTATTCAAATTCGAGCACCAGTGAATGTAGAATTAATCGGCAGTTTGAAATTAGGTAATGAAAAAATTAAAGGAGGAGCTTATGTGCGATTTGATTCTGAGCAGCACCTATGGTTCTGTTATTTCGCTCCTCCGTCTACAGGATTCTATGAAATCATGATCTATGCTAAAGAGAAGAGTAATTCAGGTTTTTACCCAAGCGCAATTCAGTTTAATCTTGAAGTGATTAATCTTACTAATCCAATTAGTTTCCCTAAAATATCTGAGAAGTTTGATGAACTGAAGTTGGCAGTAATACAACCAACGTATCAGCACACCCTTAAACTGGAGAATGGTGCTACTCATACCAAAATTCTATTGTTCTCACTATTGGATATCTTACTAATAGCTAATTTAACGAATTCTGTGGGCGAAGAAGTTGTTGGTGGACATGAAATATTTTTTGATAAAGAGAAACACATATGGCAGTGTTTATTCGCACCACAAACGAATGGTTTTCATGAGATATCGATTTATGGCAAAAAGCAAGGTGATATTGGCGCTTATTCATCTGTCATTACATATGGTCTTGAAGTTTTTGACTTAACTGAGCCGATTAGCTTTCCTGAAACATTCAAACCGTATTATGATCTTGGACTAGAAGTTGTTCAGCCTAAATTTCAACATACTCTTCGATTGAAAGATAATACATCGCATATTCAAATTCTTATTCAAGCACCACTCGAAATCGATTTAATAGCCGATTTAACTAACTGTGAAGGTGAAAAAGTAAGTGGGGGATACAAAGTTTATTTTGATAAGCGGTCATCATTATGGCGATGTTTGTTCGCTCCACAAGAATCCGGTCTACATAAAATTAATATCTATGCCAAGAAGAAATCTATGCAAGGCAACAAATATGCTCAAGCTATCAAATTTAACTTTGATGTTAAACAAGCGCCCACTCATCCTACGTCATATCCGAAGACAACGTCCTACTTTTATCATTATGATCTGCACATAATAGCACCTAATAATAGTCGATTCTCTGTCTGGCCTCAAAATGCTTCGTATACTGAAATTCTTTTGCGTGCCCCTATGAACATTCAATTGTCGGGTGATATCAAATACAATAATCGAAAAATTGAAAATGGAAGCCTTTTGCAATATGATTGTGACAAAGATTTGTGGCAATGTTTGTTTGCACCTCAAAACATAGGACTCCACAAAATTACAATATATGCAAAATGGATTGCGGAATCTGATGTACTACATTCAGTAGTCGAGTTTGATATGGATGTTACGCATTTAAAACGTTCAACAACGTTTCCACAAACGTACAGTCACTTTTACCAGACAAAATGTAAAATATATGAACCGCTTGAAGATAATTTGAAGCGAGGTTCTACTGTCACACTTCATTATCGGATACCAGATGCTGACAAAGTTCGAATTAAATCAGGATCAGAATGGCTAACAGAAGGCGGCTATGAGAAAAATATTTTTAAACGACAAATAGTAGTTTCAAACGAAAATATAACCATCATGGCCAGCTATAAGGACGATAACAGCTTTCACTCACTCATCGTCTACACAATGAAGTAACAGTCTCATACGCCTCGCGAATCTATCATAATGTCATGTAAACACTAATTGAAGAACGATAGTAGTAACGCCAAATTTGATATTACTTTGATAGGACATCGTTAACTAATCACTGATAATACTACAAACTGCAAAAAACGTTTTTTTTCAGAAAATTCAGATCAGATGTAGCGGACTTCCTATAACAACGAAATATACACTCTTAATCAAGGAAATATATTTTGATCCTTTCAATTAAGCTAGCTGATTGCGTAACTTAACTCTCATGCATCAATTCGCGATAAAAGGAACTTGGTTTAAGCTTTATTTATTTAAGAAAAGTATAAAAACAAGTTTAAATAATTATAGAGAACAAAAAGAAAGAGGCGAACCCATTGCATCTTTTTGTCTATTCATACATAAGAAAAGATGTAATGGTATATAAATTGTTGAGCTAAAAAAGGCATACATACATAGACAGAGAAAAGTTACAATAAAGTATGGAAAGAAAATGGAGAACTGAATAGAGATTAAAAAATGTTGGATATTTTTTAAATAGTTGACAATAAGATGTAGTTGGCATATTTGAGAGTCATCATTGTTTTGAAAGTTCTGATAATTTTTCATGTGAAATGAGATAGTTTAACGTCATGGACAGCCGGAACTATTCTGCTCTATTTTTTATTCTATTTTTGTTGATTGATGCGCAATAGTTAACCTTTTGGCTACGGGAGTAGAGTCCTGCAGGTTAAACCTAACATAACCTAACCTTTAGGTCAGGTTAGGTTTAGATTATGAAATTTTTTATAGGTTAAGTTTTAGGTTACGCTATTGATAACCTATTTTAACCTAAAGAAAAAAACCGATTTTGAACGACCACTTTAAAACAGCCAACACTTTGAGTAATAAGGCGTAGTCCGAGTGAAATTTTATCGATTGAGAATAATTCAGACCGAGGTTCTCTAGGTTAAATTGCAAAATAGCACAATCAAAAAAGGAAGTCAGAGAAAAAACTTACGTTTGCTAAAGATAGATGGCGAATACACAACAATAACAGAACCTTCATAGCATCGAGAGCCTAAAGTGAAATTCTGGTCTACTCTAAAGAAGGTATCTCTATTCAGAAAGCTATTTTCCAAAGATTACATTAAAGAATAAAAGACTCAACCGATTCATTTCTATATTCATATAAAATGTGATTTATTTTGTATAAGCTTACCTTTCAGACGGTGTTTAGATGAGAAGCAATAACGATACGGAACAAAGCTGAAGTGTGAGCTTCTGAAACCAGGTTTTGGGAAAAAATTGCAAAAGGTTGTATTAGGTTAACGTAGGTTAGGTTAGGTTAGATTATAGGTTGTCAAAAAGTCATAACCTGCAGGACTCTATACGGGAGTATCATATATGATACCCGTGGCCATTCTTTGAATAACTGTTGAACTAATATATCTCTGGAGAAACCAGAATATCTCTGGAAAACTCGACACAGTAATACATTGTTTCTTTTTCATAAATGGATAAACTAAAGTGTCTTCCACAAAACAGAACCAAAGCGAGCGCTTCATCTGCAGTGGTTACGCAAGGGGCGAGGTTTTCGGATGGAATTAACTTTATCCTGAAGTTCTGAACTCGTTGTGATGTTTTTTGCTTACTTAGTTTTAAAAAAAAAAGTCAAAGATTGTCAATAGATTTCATGCGAATCGAAAATTTTCGATTGAGAAGTTGTGTCAGCATTCGGTCGTGGTTCTCGTGCATTGGCTCTCACAAGTTATATTTGAATGTCGTTTTTTGTACACATCAGAGACCGAAACGGGTCAGGTCGGGTTCGGGTCGGGTCCATGGAAAAAAAGCTTTTGGCTGTATTCTCGTCTTGCCACTTGAAAACAAATCAGGGAATTTCTTCGGTTACGGTTCACTATTCGCTTGACTGTAAAGGAAAGGGTCTTATCGAGTTAAAATGTCTGTATGTTTGTATGTTTGTATGTCCGCAGACTAGATACTAGCGACACACAAACTAATAGAGCAAAACCTGATTAGATGAAAATGATATAGAGTAAGTAGTCGACTATCGGGAATCAGAACATGAGTATCAGCGACCTCGACGGTGAATCCTATTGGTCGAACACATGATTTCCACTTGAATGGATGAAAATGATATGAAGTAGGTCGGTGACTTTGGGGAATCACAAAATGAGTATGAGCGACCTCTACGATCAGTTCTATTGGGCGAGTTTTTCTATTTTAAGCCTTTTCTCTGGGAAAATAGAAAACTGGCTCGAACTTTTGAAGCAGGAGCCAAGAACCCGGATCCTTTTAATCTTTTGACTACCTCAGTATACTCTATCGATCCACATATGAACGAAGAAAACTGAGTTGGTCACTTGAGAATGATTCCTCGTTACCATTACAAAACGTTGTTGCTGTTTCAAACACAACATGTTTCAGTTTTAAAGAAAAGAAAAAGTGATTTTCAAACCCTTAACTCAGCCCTCTCCCTTTATTCCCTTGACTGTAAAGGAAAGGTTCTTATCGAGTTAAAATGACTGTACGTATGTATGTACGTTTGTATGTCCGCGGACTAGATACTAGCCACACACAAACTAGTAGAGCAAAACTTGATTGGATGAAAATGCTACGGATTAGGCAGTCGACTATGAGGAATCGGAAAATAAGTGTGAGCGACCTCTACGGTGAATCCCATTGGCTGAAAACATGATTTCTACTTGAATGGATGAAAATGATATGAATGGGTCGACTATGGGAAATCAGAGAATGAGTAAGAGCGAGCTATTGGTTGAAATGTTTTTCTCAATTAAATGATGTGCAATAGGCATTCGACTATGGAGAATGAGAAAATGCATATAAGCAACCTCTAGGATGGATTCTGTTTGTCGAAAACTTCAGCTCAATTTCATTGGATGGAAATGGTGTGCGACAGGTATGCGACTATGGGGAATCCGAAACTGAGTGTGAACGACCTCTGCGTTGAATGCTTTTGGTCGAAACTGTCATCTTAACTTCGCTGGATGAGAATGATGCGCAATAATCAATCGTGGCATAGAGATCCATGCTTCTTTTTCAACGGATATTTATTTGTAAGGATTAGTGATAAGGTGATGAGCCTTCGAGATAAGAGAAGGAAACAAGGAAAGCGAATAAACAGTGGAAGTGCCGACTCTGTCGGCAATGTACAACGGCAATTTACGTCGTAAATATGGCTTGTTCCTGATTTCTTACACCGGTTTCTCATGATACATCGGTGCAACGATACGTGTTGAAAATTATTGTTGGTAAGATAAAAGAGTTGACTCGGATGTTTCTGAATAGCGTTTTACAGAAAACTGGTAGAAACTTGCGGTTTCCAACAGCTAAAAGCAAAGATTTGAACGCATCTTTCAATTATGATATTCATTTTGAGAACTTTTTTCCAATGTACGTTTCCTAGAGTACGTTTCACTAAACGGCAGCGACCAAACAAACTAACCAAACAAATTATCTGCGAGTGAGCATTCTTGTAAACATATAAATATTGCCACGTGATTTAGCATAGTCGAAACTTATGCTTCCATCCATCGCAGAGATGCATTGACGAAAATGAAGAGCAGTGCAGGGTTCCCAGGAAAACGTCGCCTTATTCCCTTCATATTTCTTAATAAATACGAAGGCAAAACGGTTCAAACACCCTTCAACTAAATCGTTAACTTCCTAAACAATAATACCGTTAATCGTGGTTTCGTCATCTCAGTTATTAAGCTACAGGATACAAATATCGATTTACTGCTCGAATTGAACTTTAACGCTGATTCTTATGTATGAAGTAGGTAAGGATGACTAAGATGTCATTCTTCAGTAAAATGTCAAACTCACTAAAATCACTTGTTCTAAAGGAAACTTTGAAGTTATCAGAGAAAAATAAATGTGAAAAGTATAATAAATAAACAATTTTCAGTTACGAAACACGCTATTTCGCTGATGTTCAGTTTTGTCACCCCTCATCCTCTACTGACCGTATTACCGAAAAAGTTCGAGAAAATTTCTCAAAGGCTCACTTTCTTCAGAATACTTTTTCACTGTCCTTTTACAAAATTCGCAGTTTCACATCTTCTCTAACTGCTCGAAGATAAAGTAATATATTTCGAGAACAAATTTATGTACGAATATCGAAGAAGTTTCTTGAAAATTGGCAAAATCAAACTTAATAAATAATGTTGGTTGTTGCTGATAAATATTTAACATTCATTGAAGGTACAAAATTCGCTTTATTCACCCCCAGCCTTGAAACAAATTTGTTTCTTTGTTGGCACTTTGATGACGACTAAGGCGTTGCCTGCAATTCTTTTTCATTTCTTCTTTACATTTCTAAAAACAGGAGAAAATTTCTTCCCTCTGACGAAAGAAGAGAATTGTGTAATTACAACTTCAACATGTGTCTGTTGTCAAAAATAATAACGAAGCAAAGAAATATTCTTTTTAAGGTCTAACTTCTCATTGCTGTTTTAAAAGTAAGTTTCTGTGAAAGTGGAAGAATCGTGTCACAGTTTTTTTCATAGATGTGTTTTCGAATGAACGTTTGTTAGGTAGAAAATATAAATAAGCGTATTGTTCATAATCTGAAAAAAATGTGTATTTGGATGAAATGGCATTAGCATGCTTTATTGCTGTGTTAAAAAGGAGTGGTCAAAATAACTCCTAGTGATCAGAGATCAGCACGGACCGGGCCAGGCTTGGACTGCTCAGTATTTTGATCAGGCCGGTGCAAACTTAGAATTTTAAAGCATGCGTGATAAAGAAATCATAAAAATATAAATATTAGCTTGACAAATACAGTTACACCGCTTAGTCAGCAAAAGCATTACAGATGCCAGAAGAAAATCACAGAAAGTGGTCGGACCGGACCAGGAAAGCTTTACGATTGGTCGGGCCGAGCCAAATAAATTCTACGTTTAGTCTGGCTGAGTCGAGCTAAAAATTTGGGGCCCGTGCGGATCTCTGCTAGTGATATAAATGGATGTTTTCTCAGGATGGAAAATGAATATGTGAACTCGGAACCATCTCTTTTCCTTGCCTTTCCCTATGACTCCGGCATTCTGCAAATACTTTTTATCTTGAATTAAAAGCGTAGCTGCGCGACACTCAACACCAAGATGTAGCTTCCTCTCTAGAATCTGTCTCTTCACGACGTTGCATGTGACATTGTACTGAACTCCATTTGACATCTTATACTATCATGATTAGATAAAGTTCTGTTTGGCACATCTTGAAGCCTTGGGGAAGCTCCTCTCGAACATCTTTCGACCCTCGAGAATCGGGTCCGCTACAGGCATGCCGGACACTGAAGACCTTGTCCCTTGCTACTGGTTTTAGTTTCATTTTTCACCATGGCGCGACTGCGAAGGAAGTTGTCTGTAAATTTACAAGTTTCGGCGCTTTTCTCCATATAAAGTTTCAAGCTACTTCGTCTAAGGTAGAATTCATGATGGAAGTTACATAAAATATTCTGCTCGGATACAAATCGCAGAATACAAGTATAAATTGGGACGAAAAGTCGAAAACGTACAAAGTACACTTGTTTTGCTCATTTCGCAGGGAAAATAGTCCAAACTAATATATTAATATTAGTTTAGATTGGTTTGGATACATACTAATGGAAAAAGTAACAAACATTAATTGTGGTTCAAACATGCATCAGAATATTAGAGTGCTCAAATTACGGATGAGGGGGGTTCCAGGCCATAAAAATAACTGAGTGAGATCTGTTACAGAGTTTGAAATCAGTTAGGAGCTCCAATATGCTAGCACTACTACCACTCAAGCAGAAAAAAGAATCGTGAAATGGGCGCTTGCGGCTACCTGATCAAATTTTTAACCCGTCAAAGCTAGCTTAAGTGAGTTGAAGCTAGCTGATGCGTTTGAATTCGGCGCTAATCGCTCAATTAAGCGTCCACTGGATCGGCCACTTGCAGCTAGTAAGTGGGCACTTGTTCGACGCAGCTAGCTATTTGACCAAAAAAATCTACGATTAAACGGACCTTGAGTTATTTGAGAAGCTAAATTTCCAGCTAGTCTTTTCTGCATGAGCACCTTCCTATTACCGAAAGGCACTCGCATAAGTTTTTATTTAAAGCAGGATTTTGTTTACATTGGTTAGGTAATGACATCTGTAGATAAAACGTCCCAGCCGATGGATGAATATCACAAAATTCTGGACCAAATAGACCACATTGCCAGCACTAATCAGGCAGACAATAATGTTTTAACTGCTAATATTCGCAAACTTTGCAGTAGTTTACTGGCACACTGTCAACAGTTAGTCAATACTAAACCTCGAATATTGGTTGAATTGATACGAAGTATTCTGGATAAATATCTGACCATTTTACAAACTAATAAACCAAATGCAACAAGTTGTTTTCCGATATTAGCTTCATCCATTCACTCACTATTCTGCTTAGTCGATTCAATCACATCCGACGTATGTACTCGTGAAATTTTTTTATCCTACTTACCGCTTTTGGAGTCACATCAAATAATCGAGTATTTAAACGGACAGACATTGAATACTGATAAAAATTACACTCAGTTAAATGTAAGTATATTATGGCTGATAGCGGTAATGGAAACAAAAATATGCACTTATGTAGCCTTCGAAAAGAATGATCTCACAACTTCTACGCTATTCTTCTCGTCTCTAATGAAATATATCACTGACAATATCGCAAATGATCCAACCAGTACTTTACTTTGCAGTTTCATCTGGAATCTTGTTGATAAAACGATACTCGTCCCGTTCTTTGTCAATATTGGTTACGCAAAAGCTGTCTTGCAGTGGATGACACTCTGTACGTCTAAAAAAGTGTATTGTCCACCGCTAATGCCTATTGTGTATAATATGGCTCGACATCATATTGCAGCTCAAGTTCTTAGGACAGAAAATGCAGGTGCAGTACTAGACACGTACAAGAGCTACGTATTGAGCCAACATATTGCAAAGAGTGACGAGAAAGAAATTGCGAAAATCAATTTGCGTCAGTCCATGGTAGTTGCTCTTTTATTGGAACCAGAAGAAATTAAACAAGGTGAAAAAACAACAAATTCTATTCTCGATCAAATTTTCGATTTGACAATTGCAGCATCCAAAACAGCCACATTAAGAACGGACAACTTTCACATATCAGAATACTTGGTGGTACTAACAAAATTATTTGTTAATGATGACGTTGTTGATTACATTTTAAAACATGCACAAGTGAAAAACTTTATTCAGTCTCAATCACGAGTGCAATTCTTTTGTAATCTTTTAGTAAGTGTCACGGCATACGATCAGAGTGATGTACTCTTACGTTTAACATGCATTACGTTGTTCAATATTTTGTGGAGTACTTCGTTTAATGATAAATATAAAACAGAACTGAAGGAGAATGAAAGGTTCGTCAATTTAGTCAAATCGACAGCGGACAAAGAGGACACTTTAGTAGAAAATGACTTTCAGAAACATTTGTCGAGTATCAAAAAAGCGGCTGACGGTATATTATTCAATCTAAGTCTCGAAAATATCACAAAAACAGTAAAGTCAAACGTTACCGCGAATACTACATTCTTTATGATCAGTTATTCTCATGCTGATACAGCATTTTGCAAACAGTTAACCAATGCACTGCAGCAGACATCAATGCACAATAGTTTTTGGGTGGATTTTTTAAATATAAAAAATAGGCATGGAAATGAAGAAGCACATACAGATGATTTGTGGGAAGAAATTGCGGAGGCCATTGAAAAAGCAAGTGCCATCATTTTACTTGTATCCAAAAATTATTATGATAGTAAATCGTGTCGCCAAGAGCTCGCATATGCCAAAGATATGCAGAAAAAACGTATAATACCGATTTTTGTACAGAAAGACTACAAGCCAACAGGTTGGTTGGGTATCAGGGTCGCTGGTTTAGCCTACATCGATTTCAATAAGAAGCTATTCAACGACGCACTTAAGGAACTATACGATTCTCTGAGCATAAAATCTCAAGAGTTATCATCCTCGAACGATGAGGGCAAAGATCACAAGGCCACTGAAACAGCACAAAAGCAGCTGTTCAGTTCCACAGCACTAGACAAGCCGACAGCTCAATGGTCTTCAGATGCTGTGAATTTCTGGTTTGAGGAAAACCGAATTGATTTACAGCTGAGAGCATTATTAGATTTTCAAAACGGTGAGGAACTGCTCGTTTATGCTGAGGAATTAAAATCAAATTTCGATAGAGAACAACGCGACACTCGAGCTCGATTTGAAAAACAGTATGGCGTACCACTGAATACTGTTCAATTCATCCGATTTAAACAGGCATTATATCGTCTACATGGTGAACAGCATCCGGCAGAACAAAAAATCGAGGCTTCAAATCCTCCCGTATCATTCATTTGCTCTATCATGTGACCGTATTCTGATATCATCCAGGCAAGAATCTCCTTCAGTCATGCTCTCTTCCGAATATGACGTGACCTCATCGACATTCGACAAAAATTCACTTCTTCTTGAGAGAGTCTTTCCAATCTTAGATTATTTCTAGAAAACGACACTTTGAAGTTATCAGAGAAAAATAAATGTGAAAAGTATAATAAATAAACAATTTTCAGTTACGAAACACGCTATTTCGCTGATGTTCAGTTTTGTCACCCCTCATCCTCTACTGACCGTATTACCGAAAAAGTTCGAGAAAATTTCTCAAAGGCTCACTTTCTTCAGAATACTTTTTCACTGTCCTTTTACAAAATTCGCAGTTTCACATCTTCTCTAACTGCTCGAAGATAAAGTAATATATTTTCGAGAACAAATTTATGTACGAATATCGAAGAAGTTTCTTGAAAATTGGCAAAATCAAACTTAATAAATAATGTTGGTTGTTGCTGATAAAAATCTAACATTCATCGAAGGTACAAAATTCGCTTTATTCATCCCCAGCCTTGAAACAAATTTGTTTCTTTGTTGGCACTTTGATGACGACTAAGGCGTTGCCAGCAATTCTTTTTCATTTCTTCTTTACATTTCTAAAAACAAGAGAAAATTTCTTCCCTCTGACGAAAGAAGAGAATTGTGTAATTACAACTTCAACATGTGTCTTCACAACGNTGTCTGTTGTCAAAAATAATAACGAAGCAAAGAAATATTCTTTTTAAGGTCTAACTTCTCATTGCTGTTTTAAAAGTAAGTTTCTGTGAAAGTGGAAGAATCGTGTCACAGTTTTTTTCATAGATGTGTTTTCAAATGAACGTTTGTTAGGTAGAAAATATAAATAAGCGTATTGCCCATAATCTGAAAAAAAGTGTGTATTTGGATGAAATGGCATTAGCATGCTTTATGGCTGTGTTAAAGAGGAGTGGTAAGGATTACTCCTACGAGGAAACCTATGGAAGTGATCCCTTCTGTTTCCAGTGATTTATACGTCGATTGAAAGAGTATATAAACAGCCGAAAAGGATTTCGGCCGATAACTTATCCTTCAAAAGTTAAAGCGATTTTTCTGTTTTTTTCCTACGAAAACACAGAAAAGTTAAAAAACTCGTAACTCTATCAAGAAAAGTAGTTAAGAGTCAAAATTTCTTTCTATGGCTTATTTGAGCTTATTAAAGTTGAGAAAACCCGTCTCGCCTCCCCCATTGAGGATCCATCATTTGAAAAGTAGATTACTTTTTCTTCCTTGACGTCTGTATACCCAAGCAAGTCAACGGTGTTTTAATGTTTTAACGATAGGGAGAGTTGTGTAAACTCAGCTTATTGGGACACGGTTTTCCTTTCTGAAGTTCGGGAATGCTTGTAAGCTATGTGTCTTCACAACGTCACACCAGAAACTGTATGATTAATCTCTTTTGAATTGATTTCGAACTGTGGTACATGAACATCGTGTGGTGACTGTAAACTGGGCGTAGTTGAACGCAGTTGACACCACTGACGATGGTAAATTGACCACTGATATTCCAGTAGACTTGTCATCTTTGACGGGTAGACTTATCCATTGTACTCACTGGCAACAGCAAGTTGGGTGTGAGTTTGGCACAATTTGGCAGCAGCCGGGTTCAAGACAATTTCACATACAGAGGAAGGACCACGTGTGGTTTGAGCAAAAATAGAATAATATCAGAACTGAACGCCGCACGTATCTAGTAGTCACATTCAGGGAATTTTCGACGTAACGAACATCGCTGTATAATTTTTGTACCTGCGTTTACTATTTCGGCACAAAACTGCGAAACATTGTTTTGTTTAATATATATATGAAAATCGTCCTTAGATGACAAGTTTTCGACAAAGATCCATATTCTATGTGCCATGTTTTGTTTTGTTTTGCTATGAGATTGAGATCTTAGCTTAGCAAGGAGCAGCTGTGTATAGTATAGACTTTGCGATATTCGTGGACGTTCCGCCGATAATTTTATCAACAACAGCATTTTTACTACATCACTGTAAGAAGACAGAAGGCAGAAAGAGGAATTAGCCGAAACTTGCCACTCGTGCCCGGTGACGTTGTGGAACACACAGTTTACAAGCATTCCCGAACTTCAGAAAGGAAAACCGTACCCAAATAAGCCGAAAGGTTTTTGTTGGGCACGGAAATTAGCGACCCGTGCCCATTTCGGCTAATTACCGCACTCAAAACAGAATTTATCCGAGCAGCAAAATAATAACTGCTCACATCGAGAAAGTGCAAAGGGACTGACAGTAATTATTCTTAAATGATGCGATGCATAATATTCAAATGAAAACTAATTAATGGATCTAAGTGCGTTATGAACGACTTCATTTGTCAACTACCTCGATTGTTTTCATGGTGTAAGACAATCGTTAGAAATAATCTCTTTCAATAATGATCAACTTATAATAATTCGGTAATTTACGTTACATCTTTTATAAGAGCAAGTCACCTAATCATATAAATGATGCTGAACGCAAAGGATTTACAATTGTCTGTTATGCATCAATGGTCATTCCGAGTGGTGCGGCCTAGGCGTTCAAACACGAATTCACAGATGGCGCTTTCTCGTGCGAATTGTACTTCGGTGCAATTAACCGGTACTTCAAGCACTGTGTAAACATACCAAATCTGCGAAGTGCATCGAGAAGCGAATTGCATTCGGAAACTGTTGAACGTCTTTTTGTGTTTCAACAGTTTGCATTTTCGAAGTGATCGCGAATTGTACATTGTTGAAAACATGCTCACTAATATGCAAACACGAATTCGACAAAATTGTCTGACTTTTTAAGCGCCAATTCAACAACGGTGGCAATGTGCAGTTCTGCACATTGTTAGTGCCAAAGTTACAACAACAACGTGCAAGATCGAATTCGTTAAACTATGCAAATTCTTCAACAAACAAAAAAAAAATTGAATTGTCAGTTCGGAGCTATGTGACAATGTGCATTTTAGAATCCGTGACTGTCGAAAACGAATTTCGCAAGCGCCTAGATCTGAACGTATATGAAAATCGAAAAATGTTTCCATCCAAGTGTTCAAATCTGCAAATTCCTACCACCCTGTACATCGAAGTTAATTCCTAGAGAAATTCTGAAAATTCGGAGGAGAATAGCTGTGATAAATATCTAAACTCAGAAAAGGTTTTCCTACGGCTCTGAAAATCTCAAAAATGCCTGCACTGTGCACACTGAAGTTGATCCGTATTAACTTGTTGAAATTCGCCCATGAGTGCGTATGATAAATAGAGGAAGTTGAGACCAGCTTCTCGCCCACTGTAAAAGTCGGCACATTGCTTGCACTTTACATATAGCAGTCAGTTTGTATACAAATTCTGAGAATTAGGAGGAGAATAGTCATGATAAATATCTGAAGTCGGAAAAGGTTTTCCTACGGCTCTGAAAATCTGCAAATTGCTTGCACATTGCAGCTAATTCGTATTTAAATTGTGCGAATTCGTAGATGAGTACGTGTGATAAGTAGCGGAAAACGAAATCAGGTCCACTACCGCTCATGTTAGAGATAATAACGAATTCGTCGTTTGCACATACGAATTGACTGCAATGTGCAGAGTGCACGCAATCTGCAGATTTTTTGACCTAGAGGAAAAATCTTTTCCCTTTTGATCTACTTCAATTATATATTACCAGATCACACAAAGTTAGATAGAAGAACATTTCAAAATAGCTGGATGATTTACGCAAGTGTTTTATTTGAATATCTTACGTCACCATCAACAGATGAATTTGAAATACCAAAAG